AACCCTAACCCTAACCCTAACCCTAACCCTAACCCTAACCCTAACCCTAACCCTAACCCTAACCCTAACCCTAACCCTAACCCTAACCCTAACCCTAACCCTAACCCTAAGTACGAGTGCCAGCGCCGAGCAGATCTTGCATTGTTGTCAAGTTATGTCAATGTCACGTCTGGGAGGTCCGCAAAAAAGCGACACACGGACCGATTTGAGCCATGAACCGATAATCAACATTACTGTGTTTGTAGACTAGAATTGGACTTTTCATATCTCCATACAGAACGTACGGAGCTGGGTCGAGTAAAGCTTGAATAGAAGAATCATGAAGAACAGAATGGATAAGCCGCAAGCAGTGCCAGGAGGGACAGAAAGCTAGAGTGGCGCAGTGTTCAAGTGTAGAAATGGTTACCGTTGTGCGGGGATTTGGCGCATTCATAAGGAGATCTGGCGTACTCCTCCAAGGGGGGGGGGGCAGTATCCTGATGCACGTGTAGCCACGATTCGATTTTGCTGCGTGAGTCTTCGAGGGAATCATCACTGTTGGTTGAGTTGCATTCAATCGCAGTATCGTGCACTGGTTCCAGTGCCATTCCGAAGAGGCACGGATTAGGATCGTAGGTACCCAGATTGTGAGCGTTGACGGGAGAGTGAAAAAGCTTGAGTTCATCGATGTTGAACAATTGTAACTGATTGAGGTAAAGTGAACCGCTGCTTGGGCTGGAAATCATCGGCGAATACTGGTTAGAGGCGCTTGATTGACTTGGCAAGGTAGCTGCGGCGCTGATCGCAACAGACGTGGCTGGAGCAGATAATACGGCGTTTGCCGTGTTCAGCCTCTTGGTAGGGCGTGACGCTGAACTGGAAACTGAATCATTTGCTTTTCGTTTCCTGGATATATCAGGCTGGGTCTGCCCTTCTCCGGGATCTTTCCAAATTCGGAAAGATTGACCTTGGCTGTAAGATCTCACCTTGTTTTCTACAGCGGTGTTCAGTGTCGTGCGGGCGGATTGTTCAGTCCTGAAAAGGAAACAATATAGAGTCCAGAAGTCTTCCGCCATGTGCAGCGATAGTGTGGCACAAAGAGTGATATACAGAGACTTGGAAATTCAGCATGAGATGTGAATAGGTGGCTTGCTGTAATGCACTTACTTCACCGCCCCACTTGGCCCCCAATATGTGAGCATGTGCGGGACCGCAGGCCGCAATACCGAACAGGACTTGATTGCGAATATCAAAGGCAGCCAGAACGGATTGACCGACCACGAGGCCATAGCAGGTCTGGATCGCGTTCAGGTGTAAGTTGCGGGTTTTGAACTCGACGGGAAGGACGATGAGAGTCGTTCGATTGGGTTGGGAAGTGACCTCCCAATGGAATTGCCTGACGCCAACGTGATTGAATCGTTTTATCACTGTGATCGCGTCCTGGGTAGTCTTGGACACCTGCAGGAGGAGCGTGCCATCGTTTCGAGCCGATCGCAGGGAATAAGTAGTTCCCTTCTGTTCAAGTTCGATTATCCGTTTGGTATTGGGGTTGATCGGCCCAGCCATTGTTATTTCGCAACTATACAGAAGGTTAATGTGCGATCTCTGGACGGACTCGAAAACCCCACGTGTATTGTATTTGCGGGTACCATCTCGGCCCAGGATAGAAAGGGATAATGGAGAGTAGCCAATCCCACGGAATTCGTAGACGGGGCTCATTGAGCAATTCAACCCCTTCTTCACGCATTCGAATGAACTGCCCATATATCCTCCCTAGAGACTCCAGACGCTCTAACACATGACAAGGGTCTTCGTCCTTCTCGTCGAACCGGTACGCAGGGAGGCACGCTGTGCGAGTGCAGAGTGCATCGATATGGGGTCCCAAGTATCCATCGTCTGTACTCACTGCCGGCGGGTTCTTCAGCGGGCACTTCAATCGGTATGAGCAGGCTGGGATGCTGCAGAGGTGTGAGAGGCGTACCTCACGGAGTTTGGCCGGCAACTTGACAGCACATCGTTCGGCATATTCCTTTCTGATCTGTTCCCGAGTGTCGATGAGAACCGCGACTCCAGAATCTACTAAGGTTGTCGATTCTTCTGGTTGTGGTGCGACATGGCTTGTCAGTTGTTCTGGTTGCGGCGGAACAGGTTGGGTTAGAGTTATCGCTGTTTGGAGAGGCGGAGCAGGTCCGGTCACAGTTGTCGCTGTTTGGGATGCCATGACCAGCATGCTGGGATCCGGTCGATATGATAGGTCTTCTTCCGTGAAGTCGAACACAACACCAAGCGCATCGCCCCACTTGTCCAGCATATCCTTGTTCCCAGGGAGAGTGTTGGCAGCGATGGTGCTGATAGTTGACCCGGCCATGTTGTGGTCGTGAGCAGAAAGGTGATCGGGATGTATCAGGGGCCGATGTCCTTACAATGGCGGTCTTTGTTTCCGTAGCCACTGGGTGGACAGGGAAGACGCGACCCTCTACATCAACCTGTCTTGTTTACGAGGACCGGCCATGAGCATTCCACCTAACGACGATGGCCACACCTATGCCTTCCCCCGCCCTCGACCAACAACGACCACAGTCTCTTCCTCCTCTCCTTTTCCGCCACGACCTCACTTTTCTCACAGCGCAAGACACCCACGGTCCCCCTCGCCCCAAAAACCTCCCGGCGATCGATTCCCCTCCTCCCCAACAGCCGCTCGGTGGGCGTACCGCGGTCGGGCGACCACGGGGACGATTTCCCCCCTTGCTAGGTCCTCCCCCCAAACGCGTTCCCCTCCCCCAAAACCCACCCACTGCACAATCACCGCGAGCTGTGGCCGGACGACGACGAGGGCGACCTCCCCCCCTTGCCAGGTCTTCCCCCCCAAACGCGTTCCCCCCGCAAACCCGGCAGTCATGCTCCAGACAGCCTTGAGTGCGGGTATGACCGTTTGCTATTCGATGACCAGCCGGGTGCTGACTTGATCCACTCATTGTCTACCTGGCCGAGAACTCTATTTTGGACCTATCTATCGACTTAGTCATGCTTACGGTCATGGGTGTTGTTATCGGTTTTGTCATCTCCTATGGGGCTTCGAGTACGTACGATCGCTACTGGATGGGTCGCATCGCTTGACCTGCCGCACTGTCTCACGCCTCATCTGGTATCACGTTCCACCACGTTACTGTGCGCCGAGGGATGGGGTTACCGGACGGATCGCGTTGGGCTTGGTTGAAGCGTGCGCACCCACCATTCAACGCTCTTGAACACGCTGCTGACCGTCTGCCAAGATATGCCGTCGCCCTTAAGCACCACTTGAGAGGAGAGATGGGGTGCGTACATAGTGCTGCTCTGTTTTCGTAGCTGCTGGCTAATGCCGGTCCAGAGTATACTACAGTACGACTCTCGAACGTGTGTACTGGCAATGGATTCATCCCAGATGTAGAGGACCTGTATCGCCTGGTGTGGCCCGAGAGTGAGACGTTGAATCCTCGCTGGTAGACGTGTGAAAAAAATCCACCGATCCAAGGGAGTATCCTCCAATACCAAATCCTCATCCTCCCCACGACATCCCACCTGCCCATGCTGAAAGCACTGACCATTCCATAGATGCGGTCAATCAAATCGGTAGCCGAACGTCTCCCGATGCGCACCTCAGCTTCTCGAATGAAGTCAAATTGGCTTACTCTGGAATGATTCGAGGAACTGCAAATAAACAAATACAGATTCCTCTGGCCTGAAGAAGAGAAACTCGTTGCATGGGTTCTTTGTACCCATGAACAAGCATTCACTTGGAATGAGCAAGAAATGGGTTTATTCCGCAGTGATTACTTTGACCCAGTCCAAATTCTGACAATCAAACATATACCCTGGCAGCAGAAGAATATTCTGGTGCCCCCTGTGTTATTACCCAAGGTCCTAAAGACATTGCAAGACAAGCTAAATGTGGGAATATACAAGCCCTCCCAATCCTCCTACCAATCCCATTGGTTCTGTGTCCTGAAAAAAGATGGATCCCTGCACCCGGTTTTGGATCTGCAACCATTGAACAGTGTAACAATTTGGGACTCAGACCCTCCTCTGCTTTCTGAACCCCTTGTCGAATCCTATGGCAGACAATCTGTATACACCCTCTTCGATTTCTTTTGGGGCTTTGAACAACACCTCCTGCATGTGCAAAGTCAGGATCTCATGACATTCCAATCCCTCAAGGGTTCCCTTTGTAGCACCCAAAATCAGCTGGGTGGGCCAAATGGCGTCCAGATCATGCACAAGGATGTCACCTTCCTCCTCCACAATGAAATCCCCAAATATACCATCCCCTTTGTCAACAATGTCCCCATCCATGGCCAACCAATGTGATACAAACTCCCTGATGGTGATTTCAAATGGCACCCCCAAAATAAGGGTATTCATTGTTTTATGTGGGAACACATGGAAACTATAAATCGGATCCTGACCCACATTGAACATTCTGATGGAACATTCAGCAGTTCGAAAATGGTAATTGTGGCTCCTGAAGTCATCATCCTTGGACAACAATGTACCTATGTGGGCCAACAGCCTGAGGCTTCTAAGGTTGTGAAAATCCAGGACTGGCAGCTGTGTAAATCCCTCACCAAAGCTTGAGCATTCCTGGGTACTCTTGGAATCCTCCAAATATTCATAAAGGATTTTGCTATGAAGGCATGCCCTTTGGAACATCTCAAACACAAGGGCACAATATTTGCATGGGGCCCTGAGCACCAAGCAGCCTTCCACCAGCTAAAAGCAGATGCATGTCAGGATGGACTCCTCTGTCCCATCAACTATGAAAGTGACCACCGGATTATCCTTGTGGTGGACTCCTCAAATATTGGTGTTGGATATGTGTTATACCAAAATGATGTGAATGGCAAATGGAAACCAGCCTGCTTCAGATCCCTGGCATGGAATGATGTTGAATCCCAATATTCTCAGCCCAAACTCAAACTATATGGCTTATACCATGCTCTCCAGGCACTGCAAGGCTTCCCCATTGGTGCACCCCAATTTATTGTTGAAGTGGATGTGTCCTGCATCAAAGGGATGATAAATAATCCAGACCAGCAACCTGCCACAGCTCTCAACAAATGGGTTAGTGGGAGACACCAATTCAACTTCAATCTTGTCCATGTCCCTGCTGAAAAACACACTGGTCCAGATGGTCTCTCCCACTGTCCCCCAAATTCACTAGATGCTCCATACCTGCTGGACATCAACCACTAACAAATCCCCCGGACCTCCTCTGCCCAGCACCTTGACAACTGCATTGTGTTTATCTGTCAATATCTTACCAATTTGTTGCTCCCTCTGGATTGGAATACATGGCAGTGGGCAGCCCTTGTCAAGCAGTCCCTCCAATACTTCCTTCATGAGGGGAAACTGTGTCAGCATAACCTCACAGGCTCTCCCTGAATGTATGTTCCCCCTGCTGAATGCCTCCCCCTGCTAAAACAAGCCCACAATGACAGTGGTCACAAAGGCTTCAAAACTGTTGCTGGCATCCTCTGTCTCTGATTTCAGTGGCCCAACCTCCATGCAAATATTAAATGGTACCTCCGTGCCTGCCATGCATGTCAGATCCACAGCATTTGGAAGGTCCTCAAACCTCCAACAGTTGATTATCCAGCTCTGCTTTTCTTCAAGATCTACTGCAATACTATGAAGATGCCTCCCACAAAAGGATACACCTGCATGGCTCAAGTCCACTGCTCCCTGTCCTCATACCCTGAATGGTGTCCTTTAAAATTGGAAACTGCAATGGCCCTTGCTTTGTTTCTCTTCCATGACATTATCTGCTGCTGGGGAAATATTGTGGAGATTGTTACTGACAATGGATCAGCCTGGGTAGCTGCAGTGATGGAACTGGAATGATGGTTTGGCATCTGGCACATCCAAATTTTGCCATACAACTCTTGCACAATGGTGCAGTGGAATCCAAACATTTTATGGTCTGACAAGCAATTTTGAAAGCCTGTGGAGATAATATTAAGCAATTGCCTGACAAAGCACCTACCACATTCTGGGCTGAGCAAATTTTGGTCCAGCATAGCACTGGTCTCTCCCCATATTTCATTGCACATGGTGTTCACCCAGTCTTCCCTATGGACTTTGAGCAAGCAACATTCCTCATTCCCCCACCCTAATTCCCTATGACTGACAGTGACAAGCTGGCCTACCACATTTGACAGCTCGAGCACTGCAAGTCTGATTTATCTGACCTCCAGGAGAAGGTTCACCAAGCCTGCCTGAGAACTGCAGACCAATTTAAGGCAGATAATGAGCACATCCTCACCGACTATGACTTCAAACCCGGCACCTGTCAGGGCACCAGCTCATTGCTTGGTCAAGAGACATGACTAAGCCTTTATGACATGGAAGTAGCTGGTATACCTTGGCATGTGCTGGAACCTGCTGGAAGGATTGGATGGTCAGGTGACCTGCTGTGCATGGCTGTGCATGACCTCATATGACCTCATCCTTGGTCATATGACCTGATCACCTGACTAGGCTGAGTAAGCAAGATGTTCTAGCAGGTTCCACCACAGAGGTATAAATATAAGGCCTACTCTGCCTGGGACTGTCTCTTCAGACTTGGTCTCTTAGGATCATCCACAGGTACCTATACTGTAGATAGGTCTTAGTCATCAGGTCTACTCCACTTCCTTGTTGCCTGCTTAGCCTCTTGGCACTCCCAGGTGAGCAGAGTTAGTCAGCCTGTGTTGCCCTAACAACCATATACCTTCCACTAAGTAAGGATTTTAATTTGTGCAGATTCATCTCTTATGCACAACAGGTATTGATTCAATGTTATACTGGAAGATACATTGAAGCAGAAGCACTGGGTAACAGCTTTCAATGGGGTAAGTGTGTGCCTGTTTGGTATGCCCATGGCAGACATGGCTAAGATGAGGTGTGAGGTAAGTAAATCTGTGCACATCTGGAAATCAGACTGAGAAGTTGGTAGAACAACTTTGCATATGAGGGCAAGCTGGGGCAAATTGGGTGACTCTTCAAATCCGGTCTTTGAGTGTGAAAGAGGTAAGTAGCATGCATTGATAGAGTCTTGTCATTGATTGATTTCTCAGTATGCTTTCAATGACTGGGTGGCCATCAATTTTGCTTAAGGCAAATGATGCAGAACCAACGTCTACATGTACAAATAGCACAGATTAGGTATGGGAAGTGTACTGATATTCCAAGCATAAGCTTACCATGCCAACTCTTGTGAATTCAAAAACATCATGTTGAACTGAGCAGTTTTCATTGTTTGATACCAATCACAGGACTTCAGCTATGCTACCCATACAATTAATCAGTGCCATTCCCCCTTGTCCTCATGGCTGGAACCTTGCTGGTATTTGAGCTGTTTCTCTAGCTCCACAATGTGTTTCAACTCATCTTTTCTTCCTTGCAAAGACATGCATTTTCATAAGAGAGAGTAGTGTTCTGGTGCTCCAACAAGTGGACATGCTTTGTGAAATTATGTGTGAGTTGCTTGTCTTTGGCCAAGAAAAGGTGCTGGGTGGAGATGACATTATGGTCATATAACATCTGAGCTTGCATAGCCTGAACTTGCATGTGTTGGTTGTCAGGAGAAGGATACACAGGAGGGTGCAGATTACCCCCAGGTGTGACAAATTGCAAAGGGCACAGGTTTACAAGAATAGCTGAGGGCTCATCTTCATCTTCATCTTCATCCGACTCAATGAAGTCATTGCATAGAGAAGTCACCCACTTCCTGGAAAAGAATGAGCAATGCATCCAATGTGGGTGGAAAACTGCACACATTGGTTCAGGAGCACATCTCAAACCCAAATTGGGGGATTTAGGTTGCAAGGGAGAAGGGGGCTTCATAGCTTGGCCACAGGAATCATATCCTTGGAGCGGAGAATGGGCGGGCACAGACCTTTTGAAGTGTTAAACTGCACAAGTTTAATACATATTCTGAATACATGCACCTTGCAACTAGTGCATCAGGGGCAGTTGTAACACAGACCGGGCAAGTGGTTGCACTGTCAAAACATGAATAAGCAGTGCAAGTGTAGAGAATGTGACATTTATGAAGCAGGGCAGGCAGGAACCAGTGTAGCATGCCTATCTGGAGACGTGGGCACAGGCGAGCTATGGCATGAAACCCGCACAGGTACCTGTGCTGATTCATTCCATTGCCTTGCAATCAAGGGAACTTGCACAGGACAGGGCTGAGAAGAAGGTGGAGAGATGGGTTCAACCTGCACTCCCCTCAGGCTCAGAGGGGGCAGGTGGGAAGCCAGAGTCCACAGAGTAGGAGATGGGGTGCCCCAGACCAAAAAAGTAGTGTTGGTGGGACCTCACGCAGATCAGATCCATGTGCAGGTGTGGCAGGAGTGCAGTTGTCTGCACAATGCTGATGGGGCAGATCAGCAGAAGAAGCACAGGTTAGGAACAGAAGGTCACTCATGGGCATGGCATTGGGATGGCCTGGAGGGAAGTTGAATCCACCCATTGGGTGGGATTCATCCAACATGATGGAAGGTTGCAAAGTGAATGAAGTTGTGCGGGTTGTGACAGTGGTGACAGGGTGTAATGCAGAAGCAATTCGATCATGGGATCAAAGCATTGTGATCCCCAACTGGCATGAGTTTGTCACAAGTGATCAACACAACACATCCCATGGCAAATCATGGGAAAATGTGCCTATTTTGATTGATTGCATGCATTAGATAATTTGCAAGCCAGTGCAAGTATGGTGATGTCTCATTGTTGTATTGCAAGCTGGGCCTGAAGCAATTTGTGGGTCAGGGAGATAATCTCATTGTTCAGTGACTCAATCTGCACCAATTGATCCACTGATATGTTGTTGCAGGATGCCAAGTGATTCTTGAGGATTGCATAGATGGAAGGACTCAGAGTCAGTGATGGGGATCTGTGCACATTCATAGTGGATGGGAGTAGGGTTGGTGGGAGAGACAAAAGATGTGAGAGTGCAGATGTGGAAATGTGGAAGGAGCAGGTCCTTTTATTTTAACATGTGCTGTTTCACATGGGGGGCAAAGATCCGTGCCATTGCTTACACAGTGAAAAGGGACAGGAATTATATTTGGAAATGGCACAGATTGAACCTGTGCAGGTTTAAAAATCATGTGTCACATCCTAATCATCAAGCTCGGGAACTTTTGACTCTTCCAAAAGGTAAACAGCATTGAGAGTAAAATTGATCTTGTGCATCCACTCTTTTTTTTGGCCTGCTGGGGTCATGATCTTCTTTGTCAAAGCACTTACACATGTGCATTTCCATGAGAATGAAGTTGCCTTTCTTCACATCTGAGGCTGGCCAGCATGCCATAGACTTTTTGGTGGCCATCTTCTCATGAGCATCATAAACAGTGCTGAATTCAGAAGACTAGAATGAATCAGTGCAAATGCAGCAAGGGCACAGATTCTGGCATACTGTGCCATCCAATCCATAAGCTTTCTGGAAGCAATTTGCAATGATGCTTCCAAACATATTGGAATCAGTGCCTGTTGTGGTAAGCATTAGTATGACAAGTGAGGGAAATGAGGAATGGTGCACCATTGACAGGTTGGGAATAAACCTGACAAAGCTCTGTCATGGCATCAGTGTCCTCTTGAGTGATGGGCATCACACTCAGGTACACCTGATCAGGCCATGCATCATTTTTCTGTTGGAATGTCAAGGCAACAATATGACCTACAATCCAAGCAAGAACAGGGACATTGTCACTCTGTGCAAGGAAGTTGGACATGTCCAATGCTTGATCATAACCCCAGTGCAGATTGTGTGGAAAGCTGGAGAAGTAATTCAACATATTGCTGAAGCTTGGTAATGCAGTCTCACATGGGGAGGTCAAAACAAGAGAGATCAATCAGTGCCAATTGCTTGGATGGGGAACCTGCACCACTGGTGGGGTTCTTGATCATGTCATCAGACTTGTTGCTGTCGGACTGCAGGACTCTGCCCAATTTAGTCAGGGTCATGATCAAGGGAGAGCCAAGGCATGCCCTGAATGAGTGGTAAGGAAGGTTTGTTGCAGAGCAATGGAAGTGGCACACCTTTTTGGGCCATTGAAAACATTATCTGGGGTGGTAAGATGTTCAGATGAGTGTTTGGGAGGCATGGGCATGTGTTTTGGGGCTTGGTGGAGGGTTCAACAAGGAATTTGCATGAGTTTTATATGCAAAAAGATCAATTAAATGAATGCGCAGTTTGGATTAGACAGGCATGGTTTGCAGAAATTGAATGGTAGTCAGACGAGATAAATAGCTTAACCTTGTCATCTCAGCATGAAGCTTCGAAGGTGGGGAAGTGAAGATGCACCTGATAGAAAACTCCCTCAATATAGGAACACCAGTGATGGAGTGAACCCGGGAAAGCACGACATATGTGCTTTGGGGATTTTGGCAACCAGCAAGATCTGAAATGGTGCAATTTAGAGATCAACCTTGGTTCTTGTAGTCTGTGTAAGAGTAAGCTGGGAGAATCAGAAGAAACTCCCTTGTTATGTGGTGTGATCAAACATTTCCATCACCATCAAAAGTGTGCAAAATAAATGCCATCTTGACAGGTTGAATGCAGATGGTGTTTGGTGGAAGACCATCTTGACCATTGGGGCATGTTGGTATGCATATGAAAACAGTGCAGGGATAGCGGCGGCCATCCGAGTCACAATGGTAACAGACACCGGAAACAGCGCCAGTTGATCCATTCACCAAGCCCTGGGAGAGGGTGAGATTTTCCGTAACCATGATTTGCATCCCCTGGGAAAGTGGGACAAAAGGCAGTGCATCATCTGTCTTGTTGACAGGGAGCTTCCAGAGCAAATTGCACAGATCCCCAGAGACTGAAGTCTTCTGAATTGAATCTGTTGAGAAGTATAGGTGCAATCTTGATCTTAAATGGAGTGCATGGTGAGTTGCCAAGAGCAAATTGAGCACATCTCTCAGGACTTTGGTGCATACTATAACCAGTGCATTTTCTAAGTTAGATCAAACCATTGGGTCTTTACAGTGCATTTCTGTGACAACATAGGATTCCAAGAAATCTTGATCTTTCATAGGGTAATTCATGCTGATTCCAGCTTGCAAAGCAGTGTGTGGTGATTTGCCCATCCAAGGCACACCTTGCCAAATCTGTGCAAGGAGATTGGCCCACAATGGGTCATTGGATTGGCACAGGTTTGTTTGAAGGAAGACGGCATGTGTGAGTTGTTGCCATAGAAAGGCACCTGTGATAGCTTTCTGACCTTTGATCAATTGAGTGGTGTGAAGGTTGTGTGCATGTAGAAGCTGGTGACTATACAGAGGAAGCGCACTCATTGGCTTGAGTTGCATGAAATCCCCAGTGAAGATAATGTTGAGGCCACCAAATGCCATCCCATCTTCTGTGCCCTTTGCCAGACCAAGTTGTTCCAAAATCTTGGCCATAAGCTGTGCGGAGATCATGCTGACCTCATCAATGATTAACCAGTGCTTTCCATACCAAATCTGTGCAAGTGTGTCAATGTTTGTAAGTTGGCATGGTTTTTTGGGGAATAAGGTTAACAAGTGAATAGTGGAACCACCAATGAGGACTGCAGCCACACCAGTTGGCGCAGAGAGATGCAGAGAATCTAAAATGCACAATTTGTGAAATAGCATTTGGATGCTCTTTATGACATGACATTTACCAGTTCCTGCACCTCCACCAATGTAGAGAAGCAATTGGTGTGTGTTTGAGGGATTAAGGTGTTCAGCAACAATGTGAAGGACACATTGCTGCTCCAGGTTTACCACCAGGTTCTGTTCATCAAGGACCTCAGCAAGAACATGCACAATGTCTGGCTTGGATGAATGTTGAAAGCTTGGCCCTTCCTCCATAGTGGAGTGTCAGGATTCGACAGTCATGGAGGCTGGCACACCAGCATTGCAAAATGGTGCAGGTTCTGAAGGATGGAAACAGCCATCTGCTTTCCATTTGTGAAGTTTGGCAGCATATAAGAGAAGCAGATCTTCCTCTCCATGTCTTAATTTGCACACATTATCATCATCATATGGTAAGTCTTGAACTGGTGCAGAAGCATGACTCCCAAATAGCAAACATATAGCTTGCACAGCAGTGGGATGCACGGCAGAGTTCAATAGAACCTGCACTGATTCAATTGACATAAGGAAAGGCACAGACTCATTGTCTGGAGGATCTGAAAGGTCGGCAAAGGAGGGCTCATCCACAGCCAGCTGGTCAATGAGAACATCAATGTCATCTTCAAGGTTCCCCAGAAAATCAACTTGTGCCAGTTGCATTGGCCATCTAGATGCAATGTGAGCATCTTGCATGTCTTTGCACTGATTCATAGCATCAATATGTCGGATGATTAGGTGGTGAAAAGGTGCAATGTTGGCTACATCATAAGCTTCATCCCAAGTGGAATGGGAAGGCATGATATTGTCAGGTGAGCACATGCAGTGAATAGAACCAGCATTGACTTGTACTGTTCATTGGATTGAATGTGTGCCTTGGAGCACCTCATTATGGAACATCCTGTTAAGTCTGGTATGACAGGGGAGGATCTTGCACAGATTTGATGAGTGTTGCATTGCGGGTGATCATTCAGGAAGAAGCTATGCAGGTTACAAGATGAGGGAGCATCCTCATCCTCATCCAAAAGCAGCACATCATCATTCAGAGGGTTGCCATCCTGAATTGGCACCAATTTTGCTTTGGGAATTCAGTCCTTTCAGCAAAAAGTGATGAAGTCATAAAGGCAGCAGCTGGCAAAAGGCTCTGTGGAAGGGCAAAGGGTATAGTCTTGAAAGTCATTTGATACAGCCTGATGACCCTTTTTGAAAGTAAGGGGGATGTTCATGGTGTCTGCATTGCTGACTTCCAGTAGGTTGTCTTCTGGCAGAATAGGCAAAGTAGCAACATCAACATGCTCAGACTCATGTGCATTGGCATATTTGCCATCAATTAGATCACCTGAATCAGAGGATAATCCAAGATGCACCAGTTGGCCAAAGAATAGAGGTAATGATACTTTGCCAAATTGTGGAATTTGTATAGTAGTTGCCACCACCCACAAAAAAGCTCATGACTTGTTGGTGAAACATTTCTTGTTGAGCAGTGAGGCAATTGACAATCTTCATCAACAAACTGCTGTCTTTGATATTTTGTGATGAAGCTGGTACTTGCGCAAATTTCTCCCTTTTTTTCTGGATGGCATAAACCATCACGGACAGACCAGTGTGAACTTGCAAGGATGATTTTGTGATGTAGTCAGTGATGTAAAAAAAGTGCAGATTTGGCCCCCTTGCCAGAGCCAATGTGATGAATGTCCATGTTGCAACTGAGAAGGTACATAATGACATCATTATACTCATTGATATGAGGATGTAAACAGTGCAGGAGGATAGAGCCAGAGTCTTTGTTGATGGCTGAAACAGTGTGAGTTTGGCCATCTATTTTCATATGACAATTGGCATCAGAGCATTCTTCATTGGGCCAGAGGTGAATCCAACAAGTGGCGTGATGTTTGTGCCAGTTGCATTGCTCAACAAGCGACTTAACACAATCATTGAAAGATTGCATCATGGGCAAAGGCAAGGGTGGCAAAGTACAGCAATCAATATCATCCTGCACCAGTTTTGGAATCTGCAGGGGACCAGAAGGTTCAGCTACAACAGCATTATCATCTGGTAATTTGGGTTTGATAATGGATTCAAGCCAGGTGAACATGCACTTTTTGAAGTTATTGTTGTTTGCATTTAATAACTTGTGAAGTTTGTTGGGGCCAGGATTTCCAGCGATCCAAAGCAACATATGATAGTGAAGTGTCCCATGGCGTTGAGCTTTGACCATTCCATACCATGCAGTGCATTTGCTGAAAAGACCTGGCCTGTTCCCAACTTGAAGGATAAGGTCATGAAATTGGAGCATGGTGTAGTGAAAAACCTTGGCAGCAGCACCAAGATTCTGAGCAACATCAATCGCTCAAGAAAAGTGTGATTTCTTGATTGCACCATTGAGAATCTGCACATCTTCATAGCCATTGATGTCAAGATGTGGCAGCCATCCATCAATATCATTCAGAGTGATGGTCACAAAGAAAACCAGTAAGCCAAGACAATACATCATTGAATGGATCTCATTGTGCCTTGAGTGCTTATATCTATTGCTGCCCAGAACATCATTCCTGAGTATCTGGATGCATCATAACATGTGCAGGGCCAGTTGTTCATGGCGATTTGTGGGTTTGAACTTGGCATCTTGTTTCAGATGAGCAGCGAGATCTAAGAGGTCATCAGTGCAAAGCTCACACAGGTTCTCCACAAAGCAGGTGTGACCACCTTCAGCAATGCAAAAATGCACATCTTGTATACTGGCATGCTCTAGAATGATGCTCTGGTAGATGAATGGAAAGGATAGATCTTGCTGGAAGCATTTGTCAGTGAGTCAAAGAAGATGCACCAATTGGTGTTCCATTGAGACACAAATCTTCCTATGGGGGTCATTGAAACCACCTAAACCATAGGGATCAAGATGCAGAAACATCCAGGTGAGGGTGAATTCATTGCGGAGGTTGTGAATTGTGTGAGAACTGGTTCTTGCCATTACAAAAGATCCCTTTCAATTGAGAACATGCACCAAAGCATCAGCCTTCATTGCTTGATGTGTGGCAGTCAAACAGTTCAAAATGCTGTAACCTGAAGGCTTGAGCAGAAGGTCCCCAGGTGAAATATGCGCCCCTTCAAAAGAGTTTCTTCCCAAAACATCAGATTCACTAGCAAGCTGAGTCTCATCCATGTGTACATGTTTGATCTCCATGAACAGAGCAATGTTGATCAAATCTGCGCAGGTTCCATCATTGTTTCCAAATAGTGCACCTCGGACATTGACTGGAAGGGCAAGTTGAAGTGGGTTGGTTGCTCATGCAACTCATGCTGGTGCAAGGGCTACAGTTGTAGCTTCCTTGCACACAGCAAGTGTTTTTCTTGCCCATTCAAATTTGGATACTGATTTTGAACAGATAAGGAACCTGCCGGAGGAGGCTCAAAGGCTGCCAGTTTGAAACACAAGGCAATGGTCGATATAACCAGTGACAACTTGAAGAGGCCCAACAAGAGGCCAGTACTGTAAAGACAGAGGGTGAACTCTCATTCACTATCCCAGATGTGGTTGTGAGCATGGAGATGGCATGGAGGGATGCAGATTCTCCTGCATTCTTGAAGTATTCTGGCACATTCTGTGAGTCCTTTGTTATCATTTTCAATACTTCTTTTAACATGTTTTGAACAGTGCAGTGCCTTCACTGCCTCATCTGTGACTCCAAATGCCTTCACGTCATGCACACCATCCTGAGTGAGAGCCTTCATGTGCTTCACTCCGACATCAAGAAGTCTGGCAAGCTTGACAACAATGACTTCTCTGTCATGGTGGTGCCTCAGAACACTTGCGAGGCTGCTGATGCCATCTACCACATTAAGAGGGGCAAGCCGATTGCCATGGTCAATGAAGAGTTGGAGAAGGCCCAGGCAGCCTATCACTGTCATCATGACGACTCCAGCAAGAAGGGTGAATCCTCCCGTTGTGCAGACAAGGGCAAGCAGCAGGCCAAATGTGAGTCTTTTGGTTTCAATTCTGATTTGTTCAAACTGATTTTCAGACAGAATTTTCTTTTTCTCTTTCTCCAAAGGTCTCGATTCAAGGTGTTGATACAGAGTTGTGGTGGGTATTGAGGGAGCGGGATCATAGATAGAAATATCCTGACTTGAACATGCACATTAGTTAATGTGCAGATGAAAGAAATAGTGCTCTAAACAACCATGTGATTTCTTGAATGAGTGTTCATGTATATGCATTCTCTATTGACAGAGTTACACTTCTCAGTATAGGTATACTGAAGTTGTTCCTTTCTAGCATACTGTTGAAATCTTCGTTCTGAGATCAAATTGGAGGGCCAGACAGTCCAAATCCTTTTCTTGAACTTTGAAGTCTTCTCCTTCATCCCTGTCTTCTACAACGTCTCTGCCTATCTCCTGGTTCTCGCTTTCCTCCACTTCTTCTTCCTCTTCCTCATTTGAATGTTTGAATTCTGCTTTGTGGTCTGGTTCATTCACTTTGAAGTCTGTGTTCTCAAGATTTTTTGTCCTGGCCTTCAAGGAAGTAATGCAATGTTTTTTTCTAGAAATGACTTCCATTGTGTGTCTGTTAGACTTCGAGGTCTTCAAAAGTTCCTTAGGTATTGTTGAATCACTAGGATTTTGTCATCTACCTCCTTCATCTTCTTGTGCCTAGGTAGCACCTCTTCCGGGGGGTTCAAAAAAATTGGAACAGGGCTTCAAAGGGACTGTTCCAATACAAACATGTAAGACAGGCCAAGGGTGTTGTCATCTTTGAATTTGGGAAATGGTCATTGATATTGGATTGGCAGGCCACAGGTGGTCTCAAAAGGCCATCTGGCACTGTGTTGTTCTGCCAGAACATGATGGAGTTCAAAATTGAAGAGATGTATCCAATGGATCCACTGGTTCACAACAACACTTGGCTGTATTTCCAGGTGGTTCAGCATTCCTTGGATGTATTTTGCATCAACCTTGACATTGAAATTTAGAACACCAATGAGCCAGATTTGAAACACCTTTAATGCTTGGTAGAGACTGTACAGTTTGAGCTTCAGTTGCAAATACTTGCTTTCAACTTCATTCCAGTTGATTGATCCAAAACATGACAGGCAGCACTTTCCTTTTTTGTTGTTCTGATACAAAATGAAACCAGTACTGATGTTCAAAGAGTCAACCACTAAGGTAATACACCAGTTGCTCTTATAGTCAATGGGCTTGAGGACATTGTTCATTTCTGCTGCAATTGCCGATTCCTGTAGGCTACAAAACTCAAACAGCCTCATATTGTTCTGGTCCAAATTTGAATGGCACACCTTTGTGTTTCAGACATTCCAGTGGGCACACCTTCCGAGTGAATCCTTCAATGAAAATTCAAAGGATGCCTACTGTGCTGAGGAATGCCCTGACTTCCAAGAGATTATCACATGGCAGCTTCCATTTGGTGAATTTTTGAATTTTTGATGGGTCCAGAGCACAGCCTTCATAGCAACATCTGTAGCTGAGGAGTATTATTTTTGGGACACACAATTGTACTTTCAGTCCGGAGAAGGTTCCTCCCATGTGTTTGGCTTGCTGGATGATTCAGTGCATGTTTCTGAGGTGTTCAAAAATGAAACATTGAATGCCAGGATTGCCTGGCATTGTTTTGAACTCTCCATTGGCCTTTTTGTATTGGGTGTTAGGGCCTTTTACTCTGATATTGTCGATGAATGGGGTGGTCAAATGACAGATTTTGTCCTGAAAGATGAAATTGAAATTGTCCTGCATGATGCCCAGCATGTTGTGGGTGCCCATGGTTGCAACAGTATACCTGAGTGGGCCAATGGGAGACTGAAATGAAGTGTAGTCCCTTGAACTCAAGGTGATGGGGTGCTGTTCAAATCCTCGAAAGAAGTCCAGAAGTCTGTAACATCCTCTTGATCTGAAGTCTTCCAGGATGTGTTCTGTCAACAGGGGAACTGTGCTGCTTCATATCATGACTTGGTTTAAGGGCTGGGTATCTATGATGGGCCGCAGTTCTCCATTCTTCTTTTGGATGATGAACCAGTGAGATTGATATGTGGACTGAGAGCATTCAAAAGTGCCTGTGGCTACCTTGGCATGGAGGACTTTAATCACATCTTCCATAAGGGTGGGCAGCACTGGAATATTTCATTCTTGCATTCTTGCCATGGGACATGTTTGACTGTCAGAAAGATAACTGGATTGAAATAGATGGCTCAAAATCATCCAATTTCCAACTCAGCCCATGAAAAAGTGTATTTGTGCATTTTCAGCACCCAGGCTGTGAGCTTCTCCTCTTTGGGGAGAAGGAATTTTGACTTGTTGATTTCGAGCACTTTGAAATGCTCTTTCATAAGCCAAGTGCCTGGAATGAAATTGGGTGGTTGGACTGGCAATGGTTCTAACTGATCTAATGGATTGGATGGAAAATGACAGTATATCTTCAGTTCTTTGGGGTGTGTCTCTCAGTCCAATGACCTCTGGAGCCATGATAATACCTCTTGGGAGTGCTGGCTTTTCATGCTCCTCTGAATGCATTACAGGTTCTGCGCCTGCTGGAATGGTGTTCCATATGGGTGCCATTCAATGTACTTTCCAAGACTGCATCTGCTGGAACAGATGTTTCTGGATCTGAGGGGACATAGCCATTGCTTCTTCAAGAGACACTGTTACCTGGCTTTTCATTATATTTGAAATAGCCATTTTGACCATTGTATCATTTTCTGTGGGAGCCCAGAACTGCATTTGAGGGTGGATGTCCTTGTCCATTTCCTTTTTGACCACCTTGGGAAGGTCCTTCAAACAGGATGTCCCTTCCTCCTGTGTTGTGTCCTGTTCCAGTTCCTGTAGCTCCATTTTGACCATGTGCCCTTTGCCCTTCAGAACATAAGGTTTGGTTTGGTACACTTCCTGTTTCCAAGTTGCCTCTTCGAGCCTGGTTTCAAGGGACATGATGATTGACCATAGTTCCGCTTCCCATGCTGCCAATGCTGATTCCACCATGTTCATGTCTGAACTTCACAACAGTTTCAAAAAGCTAAGGAAGTCATTGGCTCCTGTGAATGCCTGAACATTGTGAACTGGGGCCGGTCGAGTATCTGCAGCTGGGGCCTCTTTTGTGGCAGCTGGCACGTTCCTGGTATACCATGCATGAACACAGTCCCTCAGTGACCCAGAAGGCCATGAAGGAATTGGCACTCTGTCCAGAAGAGTGATCTTATTCTGGAAGTTCCACATAACATAACCGGTTTGAAGGCTCTCATCAAGAAGAGAACACTCCCTCATGAAGTGATCTGGTGCTCCGCACCATAGGCATCTGTTTTGACTGCTCCCATCATTGTTTGAAGCTCAATTTCTGCCTGGCCATTGATTTGAATTCTGGTACCAGTCATTTGAATGGCTCGTATTGTACGTTGCCCTGGTTGCCATCATTTCAAACTTCTCCTCAAGCCGGGTAAGTACCTCTAGCATGTGTTTCTGCATGTTCAGGTTCACTTCCACCTTGATGTTTGGAATCAAATTCTTGATTTGAGCTAGAGCTGCTTCTGTTTCTGATTTCACTGTCATGGCCACCATTCTGGGACTGAGAGAAATAATCTCTCCACTTGCTGGGGTGTTCACCAGTAGGAGCACGGCCATCTTAACTGGGTTGTCCCAAGGCCAAGGATCATTGGGCATGGAATCGGGGTATTTCAAGAGGAGCCTCAACCAAAGTTTCTCCTGGAATTTGTAGTGAAATCCTTGCATGAACATCTGTTGTTGCTCAGTCTTCGAGAGGTATTCCTTCCTAACCAGCCACTGGGATACTGTCAAAAACTGCCATTGGTATTGTCAGAACTGAGCCCTGCTGTCCATGGGAATGGCCACACTCTTTGAAACAAGCTTTTCCAAGTCAAGTCTCAAATATAGCTGGCTCGAATCCATAGCTCCTGGGTAGAAAGCTAGAATCTGCTTTTGGAACTCATCATACTTCAGACTCACTGCATGACTTTCTTCTGCCATATTCCATACCTGGAAGACTTCCATGTCAACATACTTGAGGCAATATTTCACCCATTGCTCTGGCAAAACCTTGCAACTTTTGCACAGTTGTTGCACATCATCAAGAAATCTGATAACATGTTCTGGTTGAGCTGAGAGCAGTGTTGGAGCATGCTTGCTCATTCAAAGTGGCATCACCAGATCCGGCATGTTGATTGTGAGCTTTTTGAGCACATGTTTGATGTCCGAGGGTAGGCTTGTTGGTTTGACTTCTTCCAAGATCAATTCTGTAGTTGTAGACAGTGTCTGCCTCAGGCCAGTGGATGAGTCAGATAAGCTTTCTGTTGGAGGCAATTTTTCAGAACAGGCAGGGGTAGACTCTGAGGGCTGAGGTTGTGGTTTCTGGTTTTGGAACTGTGCCCTGCTTCAGGTGGTCAGTTTGATGGTTGCTTAGGTGGACTGCTCGATCTGCAACTGAATGCCCCAAGTTTTCTCCCCAACCAGAAATTTTTCACAAAATCCTACATTGGTTGCCAAATGAGGCATCAGGAGAAGGTCTGCTGGAGGGGCAGTCAACAGTGGTGGCCCAGACTTTGTAGTAGGTAGCCCCAGATAACTCAGGCCTAATCAAATTGTTGCCTCCTAAGGTAGAGCCATTCAAATAGCCAATCTGAATGTCCTGGGTGAGCTCCAAAGCTGGAAGCAGCACTCCGAAGGGCATCCAAAACAAGAGTGAGAGAAGGGAAAGGGCCAAATAGGGTGAACAAGAGGTATTCAAAAGTTGAGCAGTCAAATTGAGGCTCAGATCGGTCTTGGAGGGAGCTAGACTAAGGAGTGACTGTGGAGTATAGCAGTAATATTAGGTGTAAGATAAGATCACCCATCTTGAATGAGTGTAGTCGAGAGTAAGTAACAGAGGAGTCCAAGTGTCCCTATCCAAAGTATCCAAAATTACCTATATATGTTTGGAGCAGTTTGGACCTTCAGACTACTACTAAGCTATGTCTAATCTACATTACCAAATGCTATGTTCTGGGTCCACTTCTTGCTCCCAATAGTCTGGTCCAGCCAAGTTTGAGATGTCATTTGAAGAGGCATTTGAAGGTTGGATTTGAGCTTGAAACTTGAATGTGCAGCACAGAAGGGAGTACATGCCTCACTCAAGGCATGGGTGGGTGAGCAATTCCAAGTGTATGTGATGTACTTGCATGCATTGCTCCAGTGTGTATCACTCATGCTTGCTGCTTTCAGGACCATCTGCATGCCTTCAACAATTGTTTGCATTCCTTGTTTAGTGACACCATTATGCTGTGGTGTGTGTGGTGATGTTGTCTGGACCGCAATACTGCAGCCCCTCCACCAGGTGCTGAAGTCACCTGACATGAACTCTCCTCCACCATCACAACACATCTTCTTGAGTTTCTTCCCAGTAGCCTGCTCAGCCCACTGCATGAACTCAACAAACTTGGTGAGTGCATCCAACTTTGCTGGAAGATAATAGTCTGATGTGTATTGGGAATAGTCATCCCATACCACCATGAGATACCATGCACCTTCACAAGAGGTTGTCTTCATGGGTCCAGTGAGGTCAACCCATACCAGCTCAAGGGGTGCATCTGCATGTGTTTGTGGTTTCTTCTTGAACAGCTTGTGCATCTGCTTGCCTTGCAAGCATGCAACACAGAGCTTCTCTGGTCCTTTCTCTATTGCAAGTCCTTTGACCATATCTTTGAGCTGAGTTTTCAGATGTCATCAAAGTTGAGGTGACTGAGGGCCTTGTGCCAGTAGTTGATGTTGTGGATGTCTTGTACTGATCTTGCACTTACTGGCATGTTTGCTAATGCCAGCTTTCAGAGGTTGTTCGCCCTTGCTGTGAATGTGATCAGTTGTCCATTGGCTGTGATTGTACAGCCATCCTGGGAGAAGGCAACACCTTTCCCACTTGCAACTGCACAACCAACCAAGAGAAGATTTCCAGCCAGGCCTGGTGTGTGTAGTATGTCCTCCAGCTGCATGAGCTGGGACTTGCCATTAATAAATGCATTCAGTTCAACAATTCTGATGCCAATTCCTTGGATTGTATTATCATTGGCAAGGTGGATGCTTTGAGGTTCCAACAGCTTTCAGTATGTCTTGCATGCAGACCATTATGATGCAATGTGCTGACTTGCACCAGAGTCAATCAGCCACTCCGAGTCTCTGACAACCCATCTGGGGTTTGCCATAAAGACCTTGACATCATGGTCTTGTCCAGCCTCTGCTGCATGCCAAGCCTCAGCTGGCTGCATGCCTCCCTCCTTCCGATCCCTTGCCTTCTTGTGACAGTCTCACTCCCAGTGGCCAAGTTTCTTGCAATAGTTGCAACAATCTTTCAACCTGCTCCAGTTTGTGGATCTCTTGCCTTGTCCAGCAACAAAAGCTGATTCACCCTTGGATTGCTGCAGGTGTCCACTTGCACAAGGCAGTCCAAGTCAGTCCACTTGCTTGCTTGCTGCGGCCTGAGCAGGCTTGGTACAGTCCATCAACATCCTGGCCTTGCTTGCATGGCCATGGACTATCTTGCAATTCAAGGCTTGGCAACTGCTGTTGAACGAATCTGGAGCAGTGCAGCAAACATGAACACATGCAACTGGAATCACTTGTCACCAAGTCACTTTGAAGCTCTCCAGTGTCTCAAGGCAGCCTACTGACAAGAATGTGAAGCTCAGCTGACCACAGCAGAGCAGATGGCTGCACAAGAAACCCACCTCACACACATTTTGAATGACACCTGGGAGGAAATCTCAGAGAGTGACACTGAATTTGTCATTGAGTAGCACTAATGAACCTGTTGTGTGTGCTGGACCATATCAGGACTGGTCCTGCATCGATCCTGGACCAGTCCAAGACTGGACCACTCCAAAGACCAGACCAGGACTGCCGTCATACAGAAAAGCAGTCTGGTCCCAGACTGGACCAGACTGGACTGGACCATATCCATCCCTATGCTGATATTGCCTTGCCCATGCACAGGGCATCCTCTGCGCTCTGCAAGGAGAGAAGAGGGGGTTCCTCTTCCACCAGTATACCATCTTCTTCCACCACCTGCTCATCATCATCAATGTCCAAATCCATGGCAAATCTTCCATATGTTCTTCCACCAATGTATCTGTGACTAAGTTGGAATACCAGCTTCTTCATAACTTGCTGCAAAGGTCATTGTCCCTGGCCTCTTTGGACTGGTGCATGACAGCCATGTTTGAAATGATGAATTGATGCATATCAGTGAAAGAAGTGTTTGCAAACACTGAGGGCCAAGATTGTTTGGGTGCTTTCAAGTCCTGTGCACAGTGCCAAGGCTTAAAAAGCAACAGCATGGCCCTGTAGCACTCCTTGCTATGCTTGCCATGCATGTCTTCCTTGGGTAGGGGTGGACCTATTATATCTGGAACCACAGGAACTGAGCACAGCAACATGCAATGTGAATGAAACTGTGGATGGCTCATCTGAAAAAGCCCACATTTTGGCTGTTTGCAGCCACTCGAAGTTTCTGGACAGGTGGAACATTGAGAAGGGGCATTGCCTGGCTCACTGCTGGGAACTGGCCTGGTGCAAGGGGAAGGTTTGTATGATTCTTTGTGACACTCAGCAATGTACTCATACAAGCAGAAACTGTTGAACGGCTCTTCCACTGGCCTCTTCAAATAATCATTGAATGCAGTTGTGGATGCAGTCAGATGATATGCTGACCTCTTCCAACACCATGACATGACTGGTCACCATCCCTGCAATGCCAAAACTGTCAAACTCTGCACCCAATTGCATGGCAAAATGGTGGCTGCATGGGACCGGACTGGACCGGTCCTTCACAGTTCAGGACTGAACCAAATTTCCCAAAAGTGTTGGTCCTGGTCCAGTCCTCAAATGGTCCAGTCCTGGACTGGATCAGCAGGACCACAGTCCTCAAAGTCCAGTCTAGGACTGATGCCATCCCTAGAATTGATGCCCTCCACAGAGGATTCTTCACTCAACAGCCTTCCCAATATGTAGCCCCAATGTAAAAGAGAGAAGTCATGTGACCAATAGCAGTCACCACCCCCAACATAGTTTTAGGCTCATGAGTTGTTGGTGTAACATTTCCTGGGAAGCTCCATCTGGTTCACCAGTTTGACAAGCAAGCTCTTGGATTGCACTGCACAAGGGGTGCCTTCATCTTGCCTGATTTTGTCCTGATTTTTCTGTATTGCACAGAGCA